TGCTTTATTTCCCACTACAGCACCCAGTAGGTTTACTTTCAGTTGAAGGGCATCTAAATGAAAGATTGGCACAAAATACAAAGCTATTTTGCTAAGTTTACTTCCTTAAGATGATAAATTCCTCCTACTACAGCAGATTACTTTGCACAATATAAGCTGAAATGAGTTTTTGATCCACTGCTCTCTATCCTGGGATGAATGTTATGCGTCCACTTCTATAATATCAGACACCTTAACTATTTTTCAATTGCACTGAAATAGTTGGAAATATATTTGTCTTTCAATGATTTTTGACATGTAGGTCTGAATATTTTCTTTCCTCTCTGTGTCTCCCTTTCTCCCATTCCTTTTCCTTTTCTCCCCCTTAGTAATTATGCTTTCATTAAATGTCTGCCACTTTGGTTTCAAGGAGAAAGGTAGGACAAAAACATTGGTTGTAACTCAGCATGAAGTTTGCATCTTTGCAAGTGGACTTATGCATACTGGAAACAGAATTTCATAACGTCCATATTTACAGAGGGCCAGCTGTGGTGTTGGAACATATAGGTGTCTGTTATACAATGGTAGCCAGGGTAATGATGCACATCAGGGCACTGCTAATTGCATCTGCACACCAGTTCGAAAGTGACAGAACACAATAGGAGTGCCTGATTCACACTGGAAATACTCGATGCACATCAGAAGTGCCTGATTCACATCAAAAGTATCCAAGGCAGATGGTATGTGTCCAGTGTGCATCAGCATTGCTCAGTGAACATGAGAAGTGCCCGATACCCATCAAGAGCACCTGATGCATATTGATGTGCATCAGAACAATCTTGCTGGTGCCTTGATACTCTTCTTTACAATTCACTAACAGGGTTTCGTTGCATTTCTGCCCCATAATTGTTGATTTATAAAGTTAAGAAACATAGACCATGATGTAGAACTTTGGCCTAAATGAATAATTAATGAAAGGTCTGAATTGCACAGGCAACATCTCTATTGGGGTGGTAGTGGAGGGATATCCTGTGGAGCAAATGTGTCCCTGATCTTATTTTCACCCCTCCCCAAACCTTTCAATTTTCCCCCGTGAAAGTAATTTTATACACAATATTTTAATACTTTTGTGCATGAAATAAAGTTTGTGTACACTGAGCCAAGAAAGCAAAGGTGTCATTATCTCAGTCACCCATGTGGGCAATTTTGAATCCTGGAGTTTTTCAAATTTAGGAATTCCAGATAAAGGATACTTCTGTGGCAGTACATTCTTATGCAAATAGCACTCATATTACTCTATATTTTAGATTATCCAGCTGTGCTCGAGGTCTCTCGTACTCTTTGGAAAGCAACTTTAATTGAAATTGTCGCCTGCAGCTCCTCTTTCCAGTAGGACAGCATACTAGCGACTCCTGTGGCTTTGATGCTTGCCCATCATTGTCTTTCTCCACTGTTAGTTTTTTGTATTACAGTGTTTATTCCCCAATGAGATGATCAACTGTGATACCGTAGAATGACAGCAACCTTTTCCCTTTCCAATCTGTTACCTCCTTGATCTGGCTAGCACATTAGGAAAGCAGATAACCCTTCATTTTCACAGGTAGTGTGAAATTGCTGTCTTTCCCTGATATGAACAATTTGATAAATAAGGGCTAAAGGATTTGCCACCTAGTGTCTTTTTCCCCATTTAGGAAGAATTCTGAAAAAAATCCCCAAATAAATACTCACAGTTTCTAACTACATAGCATTGGACCTGTTCCAGTGGACCTGTCTATGGTTCCCAAATCTTCTCCATGTTTCAAATTAGGCCTTTTAAGGAATTAGTCATTCTGTGTAGTCACATCCCAGTATAAGCATTCTGCAGCTACTGGCACAATATCAACTGTGTGCTAAATGTACATGCTTTGCACAATCTCTTTACCATTCCATTTTGTTCATGTTTTTTTGTTCGTGAATGTGTGCACATTTTAATGATATGTATTATGATAGCAAGCCAGATATGTGGATAGTTATAACTAGTTTTTATTAAAACTAGTAGTGTACAATAGTAGCATACAATAAGGTTGTGGACAAAGTAACTTGGTTGCCCAAGAAACAGAAATTATCCTGTACACCAGGAATGACTGGTACATCACAGTGATGAGGATCATTGCATTGTATTGCATGCAATGTACTTTTTCAAATATTTCTATTTTGCCTTCTATCCACTATAAAATGTAATGATCAGGCAAAAACCATGTCTGAGCTCATACATCACAGATGTAGTTAAACAAAATTAACTACAGATTATCTTCTTAGCTGATTATCAAAAGATATAGTAACATTCAGCAGCCAGCAGAGTGATGAAGATCTATTCTGCTGGTGATTAAAGTGAACCAAGATGACATTTCCAATCCATTCCTGACAGCATATTCCAGTGTGACAATCAGAAGCAGGACCGCTACTAGAGTTCAACACATCAGAGATCATTGGCAGTAGGAGGGTGGAAACATCATCTTGCTGCACCTCTATTGCCAAATTGAGGTGCAGTTTGGTGCTTACTTGCTTACTTACTTAGGCGATCCCTCGTAGTCTGAGGATGATGGTCCTCCAAGAGTGGTAACCTGGGGGTGGATCTGTAGGTGACTGTGGAGCCCTATTCTTGGTCTGCATCTTCTCCCGCAGTGAGGGCATTGGTTTCCAGGTGGGAGGCGGTCCCGGTCGGGGTTGGCTTGATGCGCCTTCCTCTTGGCACGTTTCTCTCTTTTGCCCTCCATTCATGCCTCTTCAAATTCTGCAGCACTGCTGGTCACAGCTGACCACCAACTGGAGTGCTCAAGGGCCAGGGCTTCTCGGTTCTCAGTGTCTATGCCATTTTTAAGGTTGGCTTTGAGCCCATCTTTAAATCTCTTTTCCTGTCTTTCAACATTCCGTTTTCCATTCTTGAATTCGGAGTAGAGCAACTGCTTTGGGAGATGGTGGTCGGGCATCTGGATAACATGGCCAGTCCAGCGGAGTTGATAGTGGAGGTGGTCAATGCTGGTGGTCTTTGCTTCTTCCAGCATGCTGACATTTGTCTGCTTGTCTTCCCAGGAGATTTGCAGGATTTTCTGGAGGCAGTGCTGATGGAATCGTTCCAGGAAAGTGCATGTGACGTCTGTAGACTGTCCATGTCTCGCAGGCGTATAGCAGGGTCGGGAGGACAATAGCTTTATAAACAAGCACCTTGGTATCCCTATGGCTGTCCCAGTCCTCAAACACTCCCTGCTTCATTCGGAAAAATGCTGCACTCACAGAGCTCAGGCGGTGTTGAATTTTGGTGTCAATGTTGACTTTGGTGGAGAAGTGGCTGCCAAGGTAGCGGAAATGGTCAACTTTTTCTAATGTTACACCATTAAGCTGTATCTCTGGCATTGGAGAGGGATTAGCCGAAGACTGCTGGAAGAGCACTTTGGTTTTCTCAATGTTTAATGACAGGCCAAGCTTCTCGTATGCTTCTGCAAAGGTGTTTAGAGTGGCTTGCAGGTCTTCTTCTGAATGCGAACAGATGAATGCGAACAGGGTGATGATGGTGGCATCCTTGAAGTCTGCTGGCATTTTCTTGGTCACCCACACTTTTTCAATGAGCTGGTGGAGTTGGTGTATCAGCTCTTTAAAGATTTCAGCAGAGATCCCATCAGGTCCGCTGGCTTTGTTATTTTTTTGTTGGCTGATGGCATTGCTGACTTCTTCCAAACTAGGCAGTGCTGCAAGCTCATCCCTGGTTTGTTGTTGCGGGATTTGTGAGAGAACCTCTTCAGCCACATTGGAGCTGCGATTCAGGAGGCTTTGGTAGTGTCCTTTCCAACGTAGTGCAATTGATTTTTTGTCCTTCAGAAGTTTGGTTCCATCTGATGAGTGTAGAGGCTGTATGCCATGGTTTCTTGGTCCATAAATGACCTTTGTGGCTTTGAAAAATCCCTGAGCATCATGGGTATCTACCAGGTGTTGAATTTCTTCAGCCTTCTTTGCCCACCAGATGTTCTTGAGTTCTTTGGTCCTTCTTTGGACCTCAGCTTTTGCACTGGCACTTGGTGCAGCTGCTGAATGTTAAGGTGGGTTGGGTGGATTTATGATTGTGGCAGCAGTGTCATGAACATAAACATGAATTCCAACCAGTTATGAATATTTAAGTCTCATTTAAGCATTTGTAACTGCTCAACAGGATGCCAGCAAACAGCAAATAACATTTTAAAAGTCTAAAAATGTAAATATATTAAGAAGACAAATTAAAAACAGTGAAAATGCATATATGTGAATCTGTATAAAACCAGGTACGCCCCAAGGGCTTTTGTAGGCAACTGTGTTTTCACTGGGTACTGAAATGACAGCAGTGTAAGAACCAATTGGGCCTCTAAAGGGAGGATGTTCCATAATGTGGCTGATATGACAGAGTCCTCTGACTTATTGTACTGAGTGATACAGAGGAGGACCCCTCTAGCAGATCTCAAACTTTAGACAGATATATTAGAGGAGAAGCACTCTTTCAAATATTGGGGTCCCAAGTCACTTAGGACTTTAAATGTCATGACCAGCATCTTGAATTCCGACTGAACATATAATGACTACTAGTGCAATACTTTAAAAATGTTATATGCTTTATGAATGATATTCTATTTAGTGGTATTCTAGCTGCAGTTTCTGGTGTACCTGCAAGGGCAGCCTCACATAGAATGCATTGCAGTGATCTAATCAAACAGTACCAGTGTGTGTCTGATTGTGAAGGAAATATTGCACATTATACTCTATCAAAGCTCGTGCCAAGCACTCCAAGATGCAGGATCCACCTGGGTATCCAGTAACAAAGATGGACCTTAGGGTGCACCTGCACTGTAGAACTAATGGAGTTTGACATTCCTTTATTGCCGTGTCTTAATGCTATGGGATTATGGAACTATTCCCAGGCAATAAACTTGCTTCCACAGAAAGAGTGCAACCCCATTCAGGCAGGGTGCTTACTCAATCCTTGGGTCAGAGAACCACCAATAAAGAGAGCCTCCATCTGATTGATATTCATCTTAAGTTTATTGGCCTTCGTCCAGTCCATTACAGCATCCAGGCATTGGTCCAGCCCTTGCACATCCTCCGCCAACTCTGAAAACAAGAAGCAGAGCTGAGTTTCATCAGCATGATTATGATCTTGAAACTGACCTAGTCATTCAAACAAAAATGTTTTCAGGAAATATCTCCCCACCTGACAACTTGGTTTCAGTAAACTGTTTATTTAAGAATAAGTCCCAAATGAACTCAGCTTATTTCTAATCGACCACACAAAAGTCTGTCAAAATACAAGATGTTTCTAAGAACAACACTTGCAAAGATCCTAAACTTTTCCAAGTGCTGGCAGATATTGAAAGATAGACCTTGCCTGTAGGCTCACAGTTTAATAGATGTTATAGAAAAAGTGAAAAGGATGGAAAGGGAAGAGGAAAAACAGAGACAGAGCAGCATTTCTCTTTCTGGGATAGGGTTAAGTTGGCCCTTCCCTTTCCATGATGTCTTTCCTGAAAGGCTAAGCGTGTAGTTGTTCAGTAGCTCTTGGTTTCTTGGCTCATGGACAAGGCTACGGAGTTTAGCTCTTCAGTTCATGTTTTAATTCAACAGTGGCATTGGGAGAGGATCCTCAGCCACATCTGAAGGCAATAAATTATTCTAGAGTGCTCAAGATAGGCAATGTAAAATCCACTGTTTTGTTATTTAGGAAACTAGAAAGCATGGGAAGAGCAGGTGCTGCCTCCCAGCATGTATTGCTTGAGCTGTTTCTTCAATCTACATGGACAAAAGAAATCATGCTCCTCTTGTAGGAAGTCTGATCCTCATGACATCCATGACAATAAATTTGCAATGTGTTTCTCTGGGTGTTAATTCATTTAAAAAGCCCTTACCCTTTTCCTCATTATTTTACTGAAAATTCAGATTTTAAGTATATGGTCAACCCGCCAAGAGGCATCTTCAATATGTCATTGGGAGGTGGAAATATTGACAGCCAGAACTGGTTGGTGGGAGGTGGGTATTCCTGCAAGAAAGGAATTCTTTCCCAGGCTCAATTTTAGTGTTTTTTTTAAGAAAAAGATAATCACATATCATTATATCAATAGTTGAGTGCCTATGCTTAACAGAAAATATATTTATTGTCATGCATGATGGAAAAAAAAAAACATGCAAAAAGCAGTGTCTATAGCTGTGTGGCTTAAACAAGAAGTCTTGATCACTCCCTAATAGCAAAGTGAATTTGCCAGGGAGAAATATGTGGCCTGTTATGGTGATTTCACTATGCTGTGTGTGATGTGAATGGCATTAGTGGGGTCATTACAGGGACAACGTGGACTGGGAAAATTCAGTGCCGAACAAGTGTAGACAAGCCCTCTGTTTAATGACTTAATTGGTTCTGAAGCAAACTCAAAATACATCAGGCAATACATGATACAGGGAATACTCATTTTCATTCTCCCTGTTTCTGTAATAATGAGGGCAATACCTTGCAATCAAGCTTTGTCAAGCTGCCGTATACTGTAATTTGTTTACTGTGAGAAAATATTGCATGAATGGATAATCAACAGAGAAAACTGAGGAAAATAAAATAAAAAGCTTTTGCATTTCGGTTTGGACTTTTTCCATTGCAGAGATACTTATAATACAATAGCTTCTCATTTAACCAGAACTTAAATAAGCAGAACCAAAAAGGAAAGAAATAATACTGCATTCACAAAACTGTTTTTATACTACAGTAAAACTGCATTATATCAAGGACTTCATCAGATGGGCAGGAGGGAAGTGGGAAAAAGTGGAGGGAAGTGTTGGAAACCATCTTAGCCTGTTCTCTCCCAGCAGGATCTGTCTTCAGGGATGGCCAACCATCCTACGACCTTTCCCCGTGTTCTTTTAACTTTCCCTTGCTTCCCCCTGCTTTCTGGAAGCAGGGGTTGGGTAAAATCCAACTCTGAGAAGGGAATCTTGTCTCCCTTGTAGCATGCTGGCAAAACAGAGTACCACGGATGACCACCAGAAACGGCCATTCATCATGGGGTAACCTCTGTGGGATTCCATTTTTCCAGTGTGCGACAACAGAGAGAACATAGTGACAAACATCTACGTGATGAGGTCCCAAGTTTTGTCTTTGTCTTAATTTGCTTTTAATTATTATATTTCAATATTAATATTAAGTCAATACAGAGTTTATGGTATGGTATAGTCGGTGGTATAGTATTTATTTATTTGTTTGTTTGTCGTGTCAGGGCAGCCAGTCAATTGTATTACATTTCTAACAGAACAAAACAAACAAACAAACAGACAAAATACAAAATTTGTGAGTTTGGTAGTTGATTAAATGTCCTTTGACCAGTATCTGGCCACTTGAAGTGCTTCTGGTGTTGCTGCAAGAAGGTCCTTCATTGTGCATGTGGCAGGGCTCAGGGTGCATTGCAGCAGGTGGTCAGTGGTTTCTTTTTATCCACACTCGCATGTCGTGGATTCCACTTTGTGGCCCCATTTCTTGAGGTCTCGTGGTGCCAGAGCGCAGTCTGTTCAGCGCCTTCCAAGTTGCCCAGTCTTCTGTGTGTCCAGGGGGGAGTCTCTCATTTGGTATCAGTCCCCCTGTGTGCCCAGGTGGGAGTCTCTCATTTGGTATCAGCCATTGATTGAGGTTCTGGGTTTGAGCCTGCCACCTTTGGACTCTCGCTTGCTGAGGTGTTCCAGCAAGTGTCTCTGTAGATCTTAGAAAACTATTTCTAGATTTAAGTCATTGACATGCTGGCTGATACCCAAACAGGGGATGAGCTGGAGATGTCTCTGCCTTGGCCCTTTCACTATTGGCTGCTACGTAATTAATAGTATTAATTAGGCCTATCTTAATAATAACTCTCTAGCAATAAGAAACTAAATTTATCTGGCAGTTCTTTTCAGGATGAGACATTCAAAATATGCTGTCATTTTTATTCCAAGTTGGTTCATGCTGGCCTCTTTGGTGTCAAAATGTGTCCAAGGGAAATAATAAACAATTTCTAGCTAAATATGGCTTGCAGACTGTAAAATGTGACAATGGCTGACTTTCAAGGACACACACTGCATTCTGCTCAGGTACGCACCCAGGAAATTAGAGAAGCAGAGGCTGAAAGACACACAGATTTTCTTTTCACTGTTAACAGAGGCAACACACATTTTTTTCTCATGTACAGGAGGAAAACTCATCTCTTTATTAAGATCTATAAATACTAAGAAGCACTTATCATAATTGCTATGAAAACCTTGCAGCATTGATAAAGCATTATGCTAGTTTGGCCAGGACTTTCCTGTGTGAGGTAGGTCAGCAGAAATTGTCTGACCTGATTTCAAGAAACTGATTTGTAATTTAACACAGTTACCTCAAGAAATACTAGTGGGACAAACCATTAAGAAATGTCCTTGCAGATCTCCATTTGTAATTTTCAGGGCAAAATCATGAATAATGTCAAACATGTAAGTGTATGTATAGCTGTCATGTGTTTTAGGTATGTATGAGCCAGCATGGTGTTATTGTCTGAGCACTGAACTACAATTCTGGAGACCAGGTTCAAATACCCATTAAGCCATGGAAACCCACTTGATAACCTTGGGCAAATTACTCTGTCTGTCTCAGAGGAAAAGCAAAGACAAGTCAAGAAAACTCTGTAATAGTGTCACCAAACTTTGGAAACTTGAAGACACACAACAACACATACATACAAACACACATATTGTGTATAATAAATAAATTAGAATATATTTCTAATTTGAACTGTCCAGCTACCAGTGTTGGTAACACCAGCCATCTCCATCTCACTGTAGCAGCAGGATCAAGTCAATTTGGTCCCACTGGACATCCATCCTTACCTGTGTCATTTTTAGTTGTCACACCAGCAGACCAAACTGACTTGTCTTGCTGCTACGGTGAGATGGAGATGCCTGGTGTTGGCAACCCTGGGGCCAGTTCAGAGTATTGCCATTCCAGAACAGCACTGCATTAAGTGGTCCATGTAGATCAAGTCTGCACAAAATTGTTCCTCATAACACCTTCTCCTCGCATCCCTTGGCAAATCCTTCATTGTTTCATGGTACCTTCCATTAATTTTCAATCCATAAATCTGTTTTTGGCCTGGTTTTCAAGACCAGATGGTTGGATAAAGTATGTAGGAGGCCATAATATATGCAAGATGTCTCATCAAATTAATCCAAAGGATGGAAACATGGGAGGATTCCAGTCAATAACTGTTGAAAATGGGTCCTATAAACAACTACATTTCTGTGTTATGATATGGTGAATAGGCGTTCTGATTCTCCTGGGCAAATGCCATCTCCTGACAGTGAAGGGAAAGAGATGTTCTAATGTTTTGAGGATGAAAATGGAAAACAACTGGATAAATTGGCCAAGAAAACCTCATGATAAGACACTTGAGTCAGGATTGACGTGAAGGCTTGTGACAAAAGCAACAACTTATTTTGGGAATGGGGAAATAATGACACAGATTATGATGACCATTAGAGGATTCCTTTTTATGCATGTGTATTATGAAGTAAATCCTAATGAATTTAGTGATATTTATAGTTTTATCATTCTGAACATTAAATATCCCAGTCTTTCAAATTTTTCTTTTGGTGCTGGGAACAGCTGCAAGAGAAATAGCTAGAGAGGCAGGGAAGGAGAAGGGAGATGAAGTGGAAGTAGAAACAAGAGGGTGTGAGAGAAAAAGTGGTGGGTTGGGAAGAATCCAATGTAGCCAGGAGAAGGGAAGGGTGATAGAGCTCAAAGAGAATGAGGAAACTGAAAACGGAATTGGAAAGGAGGCAGAAGATACATGCAAACAGGAGATGCAATGAGGTGGAGAAAGTTGAAAGGGTGGTGGAGAGTGGAATGAGTCATTAAACTACATGTTTGTGTGGAGGAAATAAAGAAGAAAAGAAAGAGATGAGGGAGTAAGGGAGTAAGTGGGACTTGTGAAAAGAGGAGGAGTAGAAAGACAAAGAGAGAGAGAAGAAAGGAAGAGAAAACATTGAGCCTGAAGCTGTTGTTGGGTGGATGGGGTAGGTGGGTGGAAGAAGAAAGAGGGATAAGTGAAATCAAGAATTCAAAGAGAAATGGA